TATTCAGATTATAAAAGTTTTTCACATATGTTTTAAGATTTTAAAAAGTACGGTAGAATGCAACAATGTGGTTGAATTTGTTTGCATCTTCGTCAGCTTATTCGTTTGCAGACTAGAGAAATGGCGAACAGCCATCAAAATACTAATTCAAAATACACAAAAATGGGTGCGCGCAGCAAAATTCAGCCCTAATGGTAAGTTCATTTCATCGTGCGGCGACAAGTTAAGAATTTGCGATACATTTTCAGGCGAATGTATGCGAACGTTTACCGGGGGAAGACAGCTGGCATGGCATCCAGACGGCAATCTGGTGGCTTTAGCATTAAGTTGTAACCGCGTTAAGATATTTGACAAAGCTGAAGGCGAGCTAATACAGTGCATTCGTCGCCGGAGAATGATGTTGCATTTCACCCAAGTGGAAATTTCTTGGGGACTGGCGGCGATGACGATACAATAAGATTGCTTGATTTATTAGAAGGTCGGCCAATTTATACACGGTAGTAGGGCACTGTAGCGGAACCAGGTCAAAATGGACGGGAAAATTATACACTAACTGGCTACTAAGTTTGCGCTGTCGCTTTCTCTCCACATGGTAGACATTTTGCTTCCGCGGGCGAGAATCGACGGGTAATTTCTGCTTTGTATATAAAAAAATTATATAATATAAATTTTTTCCTGTATTCAACAGTTGCTCGTTTGGAAATCTAATTTGCATACATTTGATGCCAATAGCGCTCGCAACAAACAAGCCAGTTCTCAAAGAGTCCAAATTGATTTTAGTCATGCAACTGCTCCACATAACTCCGCCATAGACACACCAGTTGCTGGAGTACCAAAAAGCTGTGATGAAGGTATTTTAATTGATCCACGACAATCGGTGGCATATGGAATGCGTGATCGAAATTTTCTGGTGCTTGATAGCCAATATACTACAAGAGTGAAACGCTACAAGTGAAATGCTGTGATAGTAATTTTTCTTAAATTTCCATCTTTTATATGCAGTTACATTAAGAAGCTCATAGAGGACAGAGCTGTTGGTGAGGAAGGTGTCGAGTTACTGCAGTACTGCAACTGGGAAAATCCGCATTTCGCACGTGCCCCACTCGTATGGAATAGTAGCTTATGTCAAAAGGCTGGTTTTAGTATAATGCGGCATTCGCAGCATACCCTCACTGGCGCCGAGCCGTTGAAGACATTTTGGCAAATAAACGTGCAAGAAATAGTTCCGATACTAGCACGTCCATATTCTTGTTAAGGGTCATCAAAAAATTCCTTATGTTGTAAATAATAAAGGGAATGCCGGATTATACTAAAGCCAGCTTCCCGACATAAACTACTATTCCATACGAACACAGAAATATAAATGTATCTAAAACTGAATAACTCAAATCAAATTGGATCGCATTTGCATAATATACCTAATATTGGAATCTGTTTTGATCGTAAAAAATACAACTTGCAATCATATAGATTATAGTTTTGAAAGAAACTGTGTAAAAATTGTTAATAGCAATCTGCCTTAAATTTATGTTCCCCATGTAACGGGTATAAAATACGTTAAATCCGCACTATCTGCATTAACAAAAAATATACATTGGAATATTTAAAATAAAACGATTCATATTTATTTTCTAATAAGAATTGTTTCTTAATTGAAAGTATTTAATACTAATATAATGTAGTGGTTAATGTTTAAAAATGAATTCGCAATATGTCCGCAGCTCAGGTTGATTTGAAGAAATCTGTTTAAATTTTTCGAATTACATCTACTTGAATATAGGATTGGCAGGGTTGCATACAAATGGTAGTTCCGTAAATATTTAAAATATGTTAGTTCATTCAATATTTGCATCTGGGCCAATAAATAATAACAAATAAAGCCGAAAAAAACAAAGTTTTAATTAAAACGAGTTTTTATAACCCCCCATAAAATTCCGATTAATTTTAAATACGAAAATAACGATATTTTTTCATGGAGATTTATTTTTTTAATATACCTTGTTTATACCTACACAAAAACCGGATTAGCAAAAAACCGATTGGACTCAACATATATTTCTTTACAGCATCTATCCCCCTGTCTTTATAGCGCACTCGATAAAGTCTTATTCAAAAGTAAACAAAATTGCTATTTTTAAACGACATTTTTTTAATAAATAATTTGCGCGGTTGACCGAAATGGAAACAAACAATAATTGTAATTTATTATAACAATAATACGAATTTAAAACGGGCTGTATAAAGAAAACCAGCCTATTGTCACTTCACTTTCCAATGGTGCTGATTGCTGCAAGAATTATTTAGCGATTTAGAGCATAATCAACACAATATATGCACATAAATATGTATTATTTCACAGATCTCAGGGTCAGCTTAGAAATACGTTACCAAAATTATATAAAATTTAAATAGGAATTATTTTTATTTATAACGTAAAAGCGCTATCTGACCCAATCTGATAAGTATATTTCCCCTAAAGTTAACCCATTTTATTTAATTTGTCTCCGAATGATCTCGATGATTTACCGGATGCCGATCAGGTTCCTCATGACTTTTAGGTTTCGCTGTCGTTGAGTTTCACGGATAACGAATTTCCGCCGAGTAGGAATCCTCCTTGGTTACCAGCAAAGCCCATAAGAAACGCACAACATATATTTAGTTCGCAATTAGAATTCGAGGAAATGGTGGATAATTTCGGCAAGTCCCTATAGTATTTCCGCCCATTTCAATTATTTATTTATTTTCCTTACAACAGTGACAAAACCTAGTTCGATCAACAAACCTACGCCTGTTAGGTCAGCTGCTTCCGTAGATAACGCCTATTTTACCAGATGCTACCGAAATAAAGCAAGAGGATGTACCTCGAATCCAACCTCAACCATCACCACCAATAGACATGCTCAATTTAAACCAGCCCCAACCCCAGCTGCCGGTGCAAGATCCACAAGCCACAACGAGTGTCGCTAGTTTCGATTTGCTTGGAGCATTCGGGGATGATAATTCATCTGGCATTGGCTCGGCTCCAATACCTGATATTTTAGGTAAGGATTCGGTAGATTCAAAAAAGTCTTAGACTTTTAGGCGGCCATCCAAATTAATATTTGCTAAGTTCTGAATAGAGACCTACATTTCTATTTTAGAAATTAATGTACAACCAAGTTCAAATGTCAACCTTGATGATATCTTCGGCTCAGTTGCTTCATCGGCGCCGAAAATCAACCTGGAGTTTAATAGTTTTTCTGTAAACCAGCCGACACCAACTAGTGCAAACCAACCTGGTGTATTGGTGTGTGTCACGTCAGTCTCAGCAAAATAGTCTTGCATCAACAACCAGAGCTCAGTACGTCATAGTTATTTTTCTTCTCTGTTTTTGGAAGCTAGTGCAATGAGGTATAGTTTTAATAAACATTTATTCGATTTGAAATTTTTACTACTATAGTCTTTATTTTGCAGTATATTATATACATATATTTGCAGTATATTATATTTTCATTGATCCGCTTAGTTAAGTTAAAATGATGTGTAAAACCAAGTAATTGCTTTTAAATCTAAGTAAAAAAATATACATTTTAAATGACAATTATTAAAAAGATACATGCATACATATATACGTTAAGAACATAAATATATATAGGATATAAAATTAATCTCTTTGTCAACTTAATTGCGGCCCTGAAAAGGGCCTCTTGTTGATTGGTATATATGTATTTATCTAAGCATAAAATTTTAATCTCTTTGTTAATTAATTGGCGGCCCTGAAAAGGGCCTTTGTATAAATCATATTACTTGCCTGCAAATAAATAAGTTTATATTTGTATAAAAGACGCTTGATGATTTTTTAAAACTAGGGACTTACGTAGCATGCAAGTATTTTAATTTTAGGAGTCTGAAATACTGAGATCAGTGCGTGTGAAATGCGGACATTGATTCATGCTGCAAGTAAAGAACGGTTAATTTCTACAAATTTAAAAACGCTTTAGTTCAAAACTTACCACATGTTTGGTATTTTATGCAATACTAACGGTTCTATAATGGTACCATATGGATCGATCTAGGTCAGAGTTTTTTTGGCTTTTCTTTTTCTTTTGTGGGCATTTTCAACGAGTTCTTTATTTAATTTTCGTATTTTGAAGAACATTCTTGCCCTAAAAAATAATTTTTTTACTTTAATGTCGCATTGAATTGTTGCAGCATGCTCAATGTGAGTTTTTACAAAATCATTTGTAATGAGCAAGCCATCTTCGTTCAATGCCTTAAAGACTGACTCAAGACTTCGCATATGGACCATCATAGAGGAGCTTGGTAGGGATAACCCACCCTCATTAAGGTGATCCGCCCAGGAGAATGAATGGTCGTCATTGCTCCTGAACGACGTGCTGGGAATGTCATCCTGCAGCTTGTGGCAAATATATCCCGCTAAATGCTCGAGTCCGTCTAGCTCCAAATCCTCGAATTCCGCTTCTTCAACCGGCCACAGTTCTGCATTAGAGCTTAAGTTTTTCAGCAAAATACCTGTAAATATGGTGAAATATATATGTGCGATTATTAATAAAATATATTTTTATATTTAAGCCGAATGAAATAGATAAAAAATTATTTTGAATTACTTGTAAGCGGAGGCTTCGCAATATCCTCTTCCGCCCATTTTCGTCGCTTCGACCCAGACTTCAGCTTCGCTATCTGCCCTTTGGTGAAGATGGAAGCTAGTGCATCTTCCACATTTTTCATTTGGGCAGCCATTTCATCCAAACGTTTTTGCAGTGACTCCATTTTCCATGCGTGTCTCTTCAATTGCAGGTCGGACTCCCGCTTCAATGTAGCGAGCTCGGTGCACTGCTTTTCGGTTTCCTTTTTGAGGTGTGCATTTTCGCGCTTGAATGTCTCACTTCAAATAAGAGAAATATAAGATATTATTACATTTACACATAAAGATCAGTTACTTATTAACGTACACTTCCACTTTCAACACTTCCACTTCCTGTAGATCACTATCATAGTAAACACAGTTACGGATAGGTGACGTCGAAGCATCAAGAGTACCGTCCCTGGGCCGATATACTTTATCGCCTTCATTTAAACCAACTAATAAACCACTGACATTAATAATATAATATTTATAGTATAATATTTGCTACCTTCGCAATTTTGTAGCTCAATGATCTCCTCAACGCTGTCATTTTGTGACTCACACACCGGAGCAGGATCTATTTCCCACTCAAAAATGGTTGGCATGGCGTCGCGGCGAAGCGATGGTCGACTAGCAGTTCCTAAGTCTTTTATTAGATATCGACATATATAAGTAATGAAAATAAATGATAGTTACTCATGTAATCCTTATCCGTAAAGTGCTTCATGCATATTACGCTGGTGTCTAAATTGTATGGCTTCTCCTGCCGGCAGAACTCTACCCACTTTCTGGCCAAGGCGTCGTCGCGGGGAAACAAAAAAAAACTGCATTTAGGGCCTTTACCCCTACGGCTGCTGCAATTCAACACACGACACGACATTTTTATAAAGTTTTTATTACAAATAAAATGTTTTTTACTTCAGAACGCACGAATTACTTCGATTTTTCACTAGAAAATACACAATACGTTTGCAATACGTTTGCACTTATTTATAAACAAAAAGTTTGTTTACGTATTGCCATAAACGTCAAAGTCGGCAAAACCAAAGTAGCGGTTTCGGGAATGCGCCACCTTCAGTTCATTACACCATGTTGTATGCCATATTGGCTGCCATATTGTTCTCACTGTCATCGCCATATTGAACACCCTGTCAACTATCTGTCAACCCTAAGATATCTAACTGCCATCCCTAAATTGGCGCGACAAGCGCCAAACAACTGTCAAAAATCCTCATGCCCATACAATTGCCATACATTGCCATACAACATGCCGAGCAAATGGAATTTTCATTTTTGACAGGGCGTTACGTGTTGAAGTTGGATGCGGAAGACGGAAAGAAAGAGAAAGGACAAAAAAAGTGAAAGAGGAAACGAGAATAAAAACGAGAGGATCTGAGAAAACGTCAAAAATTACGACGCGTTGATTTGGGGATAGCGCGCGCTGACACTCGTCGACAATGGATAACGCAACGCTTGGCGCTCCAATTTAGGGACGGCAGTCACTTGTATTCTTCCACAATGGCGTTAGCGCCGCGTTATTGTGGGATGCTTCATACAAATTGTATGGTCATGAGGATTTTTGACAGTTGCTTGGCGCTTGACGCGTCAATTTAGAGATGGCAGTTCCTCGGAGATGAATATGCTACGGATGAAATTATTGGTACCCACGCCTTCCAAGCACGCAGGGTTGCTTTTAAGAAACAAAAAATAATTAACTCCAAATAGTTTCAAAAAGTATAGTGTAAAACGAAATTTATTGAATAATTCCATATAAAATGGTATACATAATAGACTCATTTTATAAACGATTTAAATAAAACGCATTTCATAACCTTTTTTGTGCAAACGGCATTTGGGAATTGATAGAAAAGTACTACGGATTGTAAATTTTTGTTAACTATGAGGTGGATGAAAATTTTCAACCCGGCCTGACGGTTTTGAAGAATTTTTTTTATCTACTTTTATTACTAAGGCGTCTAATAAATACATAGCTTTTAGTTCTAGAAAAATAAAAGTCAGTAAAGACTTCTAAAGAAGTCTTTTTTGTATAATTTCTGATTTTATTTGCTCAACTTCTTTTGCACCAGAGCAACTGTCAAAAATTTGCAGCAGTAAAAAGTTACGAATTGGCACAGCAATGGAAAATTTTCTCGCCATAATAAAAAAGTTTTTGCAACATGGATCTTTTCTACTAATTGACATGAAATTACTATCTCAACGCTCGGAGCGCTGCCACTGAGGGCTTTCGCCAACTGATAAAAAAAGAGAAAATTTGGAAATACCAAACAAAAATTTTGAGATTTCTCCTTGTGAATACGAATGCCATAGTTTTTACCTGGCTCGTGGGGCTACGCAAAATTTTGACAGCTTGTAAATATGTATACACATAAAGTTGTTGGCGGTTATAAAGAGTCAAAATCAAAATGGAGAAAAGAACAAAAAGCGTACGCTAGTAGTCAGTTATAAAATAAATCAAATTTATTTGCGAATATTTGTTTACTCTATTTATTGAAAGGCAACCACGCGGAAAAGCTTGTGTTAATTATATTGATAACAGAACCTGGCAGCTCGCACGTTGTTTAAATTCTCAAGCAACATAAAATCCACAAAAGAATACATGGCTTGTCCATCAATACGCCATGTATAAATTTTTACAACACACAAAAATAGAGCTGTCGCACGAGCGTTTGTTTGGTTTTTCAACACCATTTATAATTTTCTTTTAATAAAATCACGTATTGTCAAATGCTTAAATTTATTTATCTAATAATAATGCAGCACACAACCCTGAAATCTAAGAAAGTCTGAGGAAGGGGACAGTCGCCACTTTACGAAAAGCCTTTGAAAAAAAATTACCTAAAAAAAAAATTAAGGAAAAAAAAATCACTAAAAATATTGTGAAATTAAGAAAAAAGCGACAGATAGAAATGTAGTAATAGTAATATGATAGTATTTTCTAGTATAGAACTTCTTTTTGCGTAGGCGGCCTTCGGCCGCACTTAGGGATTATAACCCTCACTACGTAGAATTCTCTTCTGTGTTGCCAAAGAAAGGGGGCTGAACACCTTTTGCAGAGAACACCTTTCTGCGTAGGCGGCCTGCGGCCGCACTTAGGGATTATAACCCTCACTACGAGAATTCTCTTCTGCAGCAATCGAAAGGAAATAGTTCATATACATTTCGCGTACAAGATGAAATTCACCGTTATACTTAGAAATACAACCATACCCAACACCCGAAAGGAGCCACAGGCACAGTAACTACATATTTTCCATGGAAAGGTTTATATTTTTAATGCTGACTGGGTTATATCATATTTTCTTTTGTCTCTCATCCTTCTTGTATATTTAGCAGTTTGACAGCTAAACGCCGCCATTTAATTTGCATATTGTTACCCCTGCAAGAACAGTGACTATCATTTGACAAATCATTTGAGTAGCAACCCTACAAGAATTGTGTGATGGAAACTAACACATTCTCATTTATCTTACTAACACATTTGCAAATTTTGCGTTGGTTAAAAAGAGACCAATATATAAGGCCATAAGTTGGAGGAAGACGGAAGATCATATGTACACAAATGTTTACATCAGATTTTTCACACTGCCCTTTAGAATGTGATAGAAACTTGTAGGTAGCCAGTGACAGAAATCTCTATCAGCCTTGCCAGTCAAATAATTTGTCAAATGATGGTCACTGTTCTTGCAGGGAAGACTGATAGAGATTTCTGTCACTGGCTACCTACAAGTTTCTATCAAATTCTAAAGGGCAGTGTGAAAAATCTGATGGAAACTTTTGTGCACGTGTGATGCTTCATCTCCTTCTAACATATACGTTCTGGCATATTGCTAGACTGCTTACTCCCTTTGAGTTCGGCCTTCAAATTTTAATCATCAGTGATGTAAATCTTCGACAATTATAAGTGATCAACCTTGATAGAAATATAAGTCAGTAATGTGCGATCAAATTTGATGTTATAACCGATCAATCATGACACATCAAGTCTGTCATATCATTGTTGATTACTCACAGTTGATGTAAAAATTCGTCTAGCCTGATCTCTCTCCCACGATATAGAAATCTATCATTAATGACACATGTAATACTTGGTTTTTCTTTTATTTTCATAAAATCTTTTGAACTAATTATTGATCGTCAAAAAATTAGAAGCTAAGTACATTACATCAAATTAGAAGCTAAATACATTACCCTAAGCACAGTACATTAAACATTAATAAACAAAGGAAATGTGGCCAAAAATTAAGCAAAATAAGGCGCTTCTATTATTTTTGCCACCAACGTACATATGTACATACTTAAATCTAATATCCTAATACATATTATACATTACATTGAACTCAATTGCCTTCCTGATTTCTTTTCGAACTCAACAGGACCTTTCTTTTTAAATGCATCTAAGTGGATTGAAATAGATTATCAAAAAGTTTGTGTTGTTAAAAGATATGTACATATGTATACGGCAGTGGCCACATAATTAGGGATACTATTTATTTATACGTTTTGACCATTTATTTAAGAACTTGCGTCGATTTTTGAGAATTTTGGCAAAGTATGTTAAAAAGGTTTATATATAGGTATATAGTTATAAATAAATAACGAAAAAATAAATGGTCAGAACTGGTTGTGTCCCTAATATGTGTACATATTACCTCGTAGGACTGTGTCAACCAGTATAAGTTTGTTTAGTGGTTTTCTCTCCCATCTGCCGTCACAGTTAAGCTGCAGCAATGCCTCGTCCGAAAATGAATGTTTAATACCGCTGGCTGCGTCCTCAGACACACCTTTTATTTTTGATATATGTAATTGACCTTTGAAAAATTTATGTACAGCAATTAGAACCAGTGTTGCCAGAACTTTTTGGGCCGACCGGCTAGATTGGCAAAAAAAAGCGGCTAAAAACGGCTAAAATGTTTTAGTGAAAATTCACATGCTTTATTTAAATAAATCGCAAGAAACGAAAGACTAGTTAACACCATTAATTTATATCGAGTGTATATTCCTCATCATCAAATGAATCACTATTGTATATATCACATGAATTCATTAATTTTAAGAGATCGTCAGCTACAGTAAAATTATGGCAGCATTTTTCTTCACATTTTAAACCGTATCTTATATATAAAATAGCGTTTAACGTTTTAACGCACATTGGATTTCTTTGCTTAGTTTTTATTATATTCATTGAACTAAATATTCGCTCTACTTCTGCATTACTTATAGGCAAAACAAGAAAACTAAAAACTAGGTTGGAAAGGTCAGCAAAAGGGTTTTCTCCTAGGGCATTTCGAAATTGATAAACTTCGGCCCAAAATTTTACAGTTGAGTCTAAATTACTCCAGGTATGTAACGTTAACCGTTGCATTGCATCTCTATGGATGTTATTTCGTCGGCATTATATTTGTGTTTTTGTTGCTGTAGTTGAACAAATACTTTTGGTTTAATTACTCTTAATGCATTTCCAACAGAAAAAAGTCAATTTTTTTTAGTGTGGCGATATTTGTAGGGAGGCGTTGGCGTAATTCCTTTATTAAAGTGATAATAAAATAGCGACCATTTTCTCGAATTATTTTCTCGGCTTCGTGGTCAAAAGCGTTTGTGCTTACTTTTGTTTTTAAATACTCTTCAAAACTGTGATAAAACTGAGGAAATGGAGCAAGGTATGGTTCCAACGGGGAGCATATAGGATCAAATGTGTCCGCGCTAATAACCACTAGGGAGCATAGATGCGAAAGTAAAACATTGAGTTCATTAAA